AAAAAATAAACGCACCTTAAAACTTTAGATAACACCTGGCATTGTGCGTTGTATTATAAAGCGCAATAATTTGCAAAAAAAGTTGCGTTCCGATCCTTATAATGAAATTGTAAAAATTTTATATAAGAGATATCGTAAATTTTGTAATAAAATAATAAAAAAAAGCAAAACAGGGTTATGAAAGACAAGTCCTGCGGATTTCTCTAAATAACAGTAAAAGTCTTTGGAAAAATATTAAAAGAATAGCGCATTTAATTCAAACAAAAATTAGTAATACAGATTTATTACAAACAAAAGCAACACCATTAGTTTCGGTAAATTATGTTAATAACTTCTTTGCCAATGTAGGCAAAAATCTTGCCAAAAAAATTATGACTAGAAATAACGATAGTAAATGTATAACACTGGTTGGACAACCCCAGCTTTCATCCTTTGGCTTGCTAGATACAGATTCTTACTACTACTACTCCTAGATGATGTTATCATGAGCCTAAAATCAAACAGTGCTCCTGGATGGGATAAAATTCCAGCGCACTTTCTAAAACTTGCTGTAACTCAAATTACTCCTATAATCTGTCACTTTGTAAACATTTGTTATAAGCATGGCGTTTTTTCCTCAACCCTTTAAAACAAGCTGTTATAACACCAGTGTATAAGAATGGGGATAGAGGTGATGTTAGCAAGTACAGACCTATTTCGGTACTACCTTCACTTTTTAAGATATTAGAAAAACTTATGAACACAATATTATTAAGTTATCTCACTAAATTCGATATCATGTATGACTGTCAGTATGGATTCAGACAAGGTAAATCCACAGAAGATGCAATCTTAGCTCTTAACTCGTATATAATTAACAACTTAGATCAGGGTAAAAAATGTCTTGCAGTTTTTGAGGACACATATGACACTTACGGCGTGCCAAAAGGTAGTATTTTAGGCCCAACATTGTTTCTAATTTATATCAATGATCTTTGTAATATGAAAATTAATGGTGCCCGTGTGTTTACATATTTCGGTAACACAGCTGCAGTTTTTACGGGAGCATCATGGGATGAGATTCGTAAAAATACAGAATATGGCCTTACTATAATTAACAACAATATTAATAAACAAACTGGCTTCAATCTAATTTTCTAACGTTTAATGCGCTTAAAACTGATTATATTTGTTTTACTAATAAAAACCGAGCTCAACCAGGAAATAACTTTAACATAAAGATTCACACTTGCAACATTAACGAAGTTCAAAATTGTAACTGTTCCGTCATTACGAAAGTCTCTCCAAACAAGTACTTGGGGAACATTATAGATGAACGTTTTAACTTGGCATAAACATATCGATGTAATAACATGGAGATTTAGAAAATTAGCCTGGATTTTTAAAACGCTTAGACATATTACATCAGATACGCTCATTAACAAAATTTATGAAGCATTAGCTCAATCGTTAATAACTTACTGCCTTCCGATATGGGGTGAAGCAACAAAAACAAAATTGTTGCAATTAGAAAGAGCTCAACGTGCCTTAGTAAAGACAATGTACTTTTTGCCTTATAAATTGCCAACTAAAAGCATATATTTAAAAACTGATATGCTAAGTATAAGAAAATTATATATTTTGCACACAATACTAAAAAAGCATAAAGGTTTGATTTTCGACCCAAATATTTTGAACAAGAGAAGAAAAGACATTGTACTTAATTCATTTTGTGTTAAAACTGCATTCGCTAGACGTCAGCTCATTAACCAATCTATTTATCTATATAATTTTGTCAACAAAAAGCTTGATATTTACTGAAATGCCAAGGACTGCAAGATTTTGATTATAAATTGGCTAAAGGCCCTGACTTACGAAGACACAGAAAAACTTATGTTTTGACACATAGGGTAAGAGAAAAAAAAACCCACCCACACACACACACACACACACACACACACACACACACACACACACACACACCCGCACACGTTTATTTTTGAATATTATAATATTTTTTTTGTATAATATGTAATCTCGATGTATGTAATGTAGAGCGGAAGTCTCTGACACAAGTGCCTTTAAGGTACTTAAAAGAAGCTTTCTACCCTATGCAAATTGTAAATACCAAGAAAAATAAACTATTATTATTATTTTTTGGGGTATTATTAGTGTATTCTCATCTGGTTGGGCTGAATAAATATATAAAAGGAAATGATAAATATACATGAATATATATTTCATATACCAGCACAAATAAATAAATAAATAAATAATACATAAATAAAAAAAAACCCAACCAGATGGAGGCCCTCGGCAGGGGAGACCAAACGACCGAGGGTTAGGGGGAAAGGGAGAGAAACCGGCGGACGATGCGGGCGGTATCGAGGAGCACCGCTTTCTGCATTTGAGCCTGGAGCGGTGAGTCACGGAGTCCTAGCCTCCTCAGATGACCCGAGAGGCTGACTGGGATTAGCCCATTCGCAGAGACGACTATAGGAATAATTTCGGCCGGCATACTACATCACATGTCGGTCGCCTCGTGAGCCGGGTCCAGATATTTTGTTCGTTTATCTGTTTCAGCTTTCACGAGGTTCTCGTCATACGGAATGGATTACACATTAGTCGACCAAAAATATCCTTGACTGTGCCCGGTCCATCAGCGCGGTCTATCAGGCTTATTCGCAAGAATAGTCCTATCCGTGATGATGGCCCGGTCCCAGTAGAGCCTGGCGCGGTCATTTTCGAGCACGGCTTCCGGCAAGTACTTGTAATACGGCAATTTCCGGTCCACGAGACCGTATTTTAGAGCGAGCTCCTGGTAAAGAATTCTGGCTACTAGGTTGTGCCTGTGCAAGTACTCAGAGTTAGAAACCGGAAATTACATGCCTATGTGACTCACCGGAATAGCGACAAGTTCGACAGACGTCGACGGTGCCATCCTTTAGGATGTATCTCCAATAGTTGTTGGTCTTAATAACCTGATCCTGTATTGCACAGAAAAAACCCTCGGTTTCCCCGAAGAGATTACCGAAACGTAGCCAGTTGAGGGAGGCGGCTTTATCTACGTGGGGCTCATGTAGAGCCCTGTAGTACCTCCCGTGGAGCTCCTTCACCTTCCATACGGTCTCTCGGTCGGAAATACTCTGTACTGCCGTGTCCTGCTCGTTGGCTAGATAGTAGTTGGCTAGATAGAGGGGTAAGTCTTTTATCACTAGAAATGACGTTATTATAGAATGGATCATCCGATCTCGCCAGGAAGTAATGACGGAGGGTGCACACTTCGCGATTATGCATGTTGAGCGGGCTCAAAAAGCCGCGCCTACCATGCTTTCGCGGCAAGTACAGCCTCATTACCGACCATCTCGGATGGTGCATCCTATGGGACGTCATGGTAGTGCAGACTTTTCTATCCAGAGCGTTAAGTTCAGTCTGACTCCACCTGAGTATGCCGAAGGTATACATGAGGACAGGTATAACCCAGCCGTTATATGCATGTGACTTATTCACACCGGACAAAAGGCTGTTAAGCACTTTGGTAAAGCGTGCACAAAACACGTCGCAAACTGACTGTTTCATACCAGCCTCATCGATACCGATGTTCTATGACATACCCAGATATTGGTATGTTTCAGCCTCGGAAAGGGTCCTTAAACTGATGGGCATAGAAATCTATGCCCTCAGAGTTAGCAACATTCCAATAGAATTGCTAAATTCACAAGTGATGTTTAGCAATTCCACAAGATGGGAGCGACTAGAGGCGAATAACTTGAGATCATCCATATAAAAGGTAGGTCACTTTAGTACCTCCTTTCCGAAGCTAAAAACCCCTCCCGGAGCCCTCCAGTAAAATACTGAGAGGGTTCAAAGAGAGGCAGAACCAGATTGGACTCAGGCAATCGCTCTGGAAGATACCCCTTCTTATCCTTATATGGATTTGAGTCCAGGTGACGAGTGATTCTCGCTCTCAAAATGGATGTTAGTATCTTGGATCTTGTATCTGTTGCTCGGTTCTGTGGTATCCTGGTCTTTAGGAACCAAATGAGTGATCCCAGTAGTGAAGAGGCTCGGGAGCGACTTCTGGTTGAGAACTTCTTGGAACTGTCGGGCGAGCATAGTGTGACACACCACAAACCCCTTCAGCCAGTAGTGATGCAGCCCGTCGAGTCTCGGACTTTTCCAGTTCGGGGCCCTACGGACCGCCTCAGCTACGTCATCCGGCGTTATAATGACGGGGTCCATGGGCGTTATACTCGCACACTGACTCGCCACAACCTCCCTCCAAGAACTCTCGCTGTGGTTTACGGGCTCTGACCACAGGCCGCGCCAGAATGTTACAGTGTCGGCCTGATTCGGTGCTGGGCCCGTTCCACTTACTATTGATATATTATATTCATAGAGCCTCTTCTGATCACTCTGGAAGAGACGATTTCGGATGATCCGCTTTGACCTCTCGGTATAGCGCCGAATCCACTTTCCTCAAGCAGCGATTCTCTGCTTCATAACATCTATACTCTCCGTCAGTTTTTGCGTTATATCCGGCTGGGACAAACTGATATTTGTCCCCGCAAACGCCATCCTGACGGTGCGCACAATTTTTGGCCTGTTATTGCCTGATCTGAAGCATATCAGTCTGTCGATGAGAGCTCTAGCTTTTGTGATTCGTTCCTCAATTTTTCTTCTCCATGCTAGGATAGCGCTACTTTAGCTAGTAGCGCGTCCAGCCGAGGAAACCTTGGTGCCTATAGTACGACAGACTGCCAGCGCGGCGCCAAAAAAAATTGAGTCCGTCTCGCAAGGGTCTTGGCTGGCTTCCAAGTAGGTCATTAGCATTGGGTTTAGAGCCCTCACGATAGCCCGATTCCGCTTCCTTAGGGCTATGAGGGGAAGTCGCGGTCGATTTTCGAGAGGCGTACTGCGCGTTTCCACAATCGCCTCTTCCAATGTACTCTCCATTTGCTCTATTTCTAGTACCTGAGTGAATGTCCTATCATCATTTGAATCAGCAACCACTGGAGTATTCACGGCGGCATCCACGTGTGCGGTTTGTTCTGCAACTTGTGGCACTGCATCCTCAGTCGTGGCATTTTCATTTCATGAGGGAACAGCCTCACGTCGTAGCCGTTCGAGTTCGGCGCCATCAAATATATTTGAACGTAAGATATACCGAACGCTAGGTTTTGCTTGGTGACGGCAAAAGATGGCTTCAGTTCAGTAAAAAGACGATGCATCCTAGCCCGATACGCGAAACCCCCAACCAAACCAAACCTTTCGCCATTAGGTAATTATTATTACGGTACTTAATAATCACCTGATATAACGAAGTTTGTGCTGACCAGGGAACCACCACGTATCTGCATATATGGCGTGGTAACCTTGGTATAAATCCCAGCGTTTCACGGCAGTTAACCGCGCTGCACGTTATGCACCATCAATGATGAGGTACTCTCCCGTCGGTGTGATTCTCCCGCATTCTGCAACAGAAGTAGCCTAGATAACATCTTTGAAAGTCGAATTCAAAGTCAAATATTTTTATTCAAAAATAGTTTTACAAAGCACTTTCGAAACTCAAATGCTATGCCATCGCTTCAAAAAATCTCTACTGCGGGCTCGGTTCTCAATAAATAACTTCAACGAGTTATTGCACATAAACGAAATAAAAGCAAGTAATCACAACAAAGGAAAATTAAAAGAAAATTCGGTTATATTTTATGCTTTTTGTCAATTTTGCACCGCCACTGCGTCGCATTCCGATAATGAAGTAGGAGGGTAAATATCCTCTTAAGCTGAAAAATTTTTCCGGTTATTAAAGACGAGAACCTTTCAATTTTCTTTTCCTTTCCTGAATTATTAAGTCCCCGATTATCGAAATTTGAAATATTATAATAAAATTTACTTTGAAAACGTTTCAACAAAAACTTATTTAATTTCCTAAGAGTGTTCTATAATTTATTCATTCCGGGTGTATTTAATTTTGATAGTTTCGATTTTGCAATTATTTATTTAAGAAAATATAATGTGGAACATTACTTAAAATAATATTATTTTATGTTATTTTTATTTCATTTTATTTATTTATTTAACAAAATATCCAGAAATGAAGTGTTAAAAGGTGTAACTTAAAATTTTATAAAATACCGGAACGGTTTCCCATAAGGAATATTTTCTCCTTTATGTCGAAGGGTAGAAGGTTATTTATTTTACTCTGTAGAGCCACATTTCGGGTATAGTATAACTTTAATAGAAAAATAATGTAGTATAAGAGCAGCATAATATTGCGATATGTCGTATATAGTTAGGTGATAGAACTAAAGACCATTTTACATTTTACACTTAATTTTTCTGAGGATAGATCTAGATATCCGTGGGCTTTAGAATCCATTGCAACTATATTGTCATTGATGTTGAAACTTGATGATGAGTTTTGACGAAATTATAAGTTTAAAAGCTTGGAATGAAGAGTAACAAGACTCTTTAGATTTTATGTATGATGGTCCTATAATAGTGTTTAATATAAACAATTTTAATTGCTTTGTTTGGAAAGAAATGGTATATTATCAAACGGCAACTGTTATAAACAACAAGAATATAGGTTAAAATCACTCCATTTTGCAGATTTATTGTCGAAAAAACCAGGAACGTGCATTAACAACAATTTTTCCTGTGACTCTCTGATATGATGGCTTATAATATTTTGATAAAAATTACTAATTTTATTAGACACTTACAGAATCGTGATAGACGTAAAACTATGATAGAGATATAGCCGTAGTAGAGATATTGCCGTGTTAGAGATAGCGCTGTGGTAGAGATGGAGCCGGGGTAGTATAGAGCCGTGGTAGAGATAGAAGTGCTTAATGACTCAATAGAGCCAAATCAGACGATTAAAATAAGCTTAGCTTTCAAGCATTTCCTTCAACTAATTAAAAAGTTAACCATATTTGAGATAAATTCATTACCCCATGTATCAAACGCCGGCCGGAAGCAGCAGCAAATACTCTGTCTACGGCGTCTTACGCTGACAGCATACTTCCTTTAAAAATCGAGCGGCACAGTACCACGCCTTCTTCTAAACGCTAACTATCACACGTTCTCTTGTTGATAACAGTAAGCCGTCAGCATATGATCTAATTGTTATCGCTGCCTGCAACAGAAATTAATACTTGTTAAATATTACAGTGCTCGACCATGCTCGACTTCATTTAGGTCAATCGTAGTCGACTGATCCGGGAAGACCCTTTCCGTAAGTATTTCTATTGAAAGTGTGCACTGGACGTGTTTAGCTCTCTATTTTAGTGGTCTAATACTAAAAGTGAGAGCAGGGTGGACATGGACACTTTTTTAACTTATCAGTAGTCACTTGAACTGTGGATTGGCATCCGTATCCCTTAATACCATACCTACATACCAGAAATCGTATGTATGTCTCGGGCCTGACGTATGAAGACATTTTGTCTAGATTCCTGAGGCCATATGCAGCGTGGACCGGGCGTGCGAGGTCCCTTCATCCAGCCACCTCAGGCATTATGAAGCGTAGACCGGGCGTGCGAGGCCCCTTCATCCAGCTACCTCAAGCAATACGCAACGTGGAACGGGCGTGCGAGGCCCCTTCATCCAGGTAACGGGTTGGTTATAGACATCCGGTACTTGATTTTGATAATGTTTTTACTCTAAGAGGCTTGTTAGGGTTAAGCTTGAACCTATTACACTGTTTTTAGATGTCGGAAATGCGTTTCGAATTAATTACGAGAAAAATATATTTCACTAAAAATTGTGTAATAACGAAAAGTAAATATGTCAATTTGTTCTCGTATTATGAAGTAGGTGTCCGTTACTTGATTTTTTAATATTGTTTTCAATTTAGAAGGATTTTCAGGGTTAAGCTCAAACCATTTACACTATTTTTGGATTTCGAAAATGCCCCTTGAATTAATTACGATAAAAATAAATTTCACAAAAAAATTGCATATAACGAAACGCAAATATGGCAATTTGTTTTTTTTTAAACAGATACACTTATAGAAAAGTTAACCACTCGGACCCAGACAACCCATTTGTGGCTGGAGACGGAACTTATATACAACAAATTGGAGTCGCAGTGGAGAACAGTCAATAGGTTTTCCAAAAAATAAAATTATAACAATTCACATTCCATTATTTCATTTACCACTATCGTAGCAGAGTTTAGGGCAACTAGACTTTATGGATAAGATTGGTCGAATCGGTTCTAAAACCGAATTAGCACACCCCGACTCCACGTAGTCTTGTCTGCCCTACCTACCCCTGGAGTGTTTTTGTAAAGCCGTAGGCACGGAGGGAGAGCAGCCCCCGCCCGCTGTAGCAAATCGCAGGCACCTAAGTGAGCCGTATAAGCCGCACCAATAAGCCGAAGCTGCGGAGGCGAGCATCGGTGCCTGTGATTTGCTACGCAAGAGCGAAGGGGCTGCATTTCCCGCAGTGCTGAAGCCGTTGCAGAAGTAATATTGAATCAACATTCAAGTATAAAAAAGTGAGGTTATGATTCAACAAAAAAATTATTACTCATAAACTATACATTTCCGCAACAGGGTGGCTTCCCATGACCCCCCTACCCTTGCCAATACCGTACGCGAGTATCGGACGTCTATAGTTTACCCCACTAACTCAATCAATACACAGCGTGGATCGGGCGTGCGAGGCCCTATCACCCAGACACCTCAGGCAATATGAAGCGTAGACAGGGCTTGCGAGGCCCCTTCATCCAGCTACCTCAAGCAATACGCAACGAGGACCGAGCGTGCGGGGCCCCTTAATCCAGTTGCCTCCTGACTCAATATACAACATATATGTAATAGGCGTTCGAATCCCTTAAAACAATTGAAGACATGTGACATGGATGGAGCGCACTACGCTCTCCTCTCGAGCTTTCAGACCATGCCTTTAAATCAGTCTGGGCACCTTAATTCCCTTCAATACTATCAATATTTTGAACGTGAAATGAAACACGTGATTTGCATACGAATAAATATAACACAGTGAGATAAGAAATTTACTTACACGCATGCGCCTGAACTTGGGATACGCTCGTATTTGACACATCATCGTGATAGCGACTTCTACTAACCCCTCGACATCAAACCCATAAACTAAATGGTATCCACTGACGATACTTCCATTAAACCAAATCGAGTGGTAATCGTCTAAAATCGTACCGTGAATGGTAAAAACATATTCCATTCGGATGGATTTCATCCAGCTCTGGATTTCCAAATGGATTCAAATCCATGTGTTCAGTCCAAATGGACGTCATCCACGGCCGTACGTCAATGTCAAAAACGTGCACCACGCCAAATGGAAGCGGTCCGAATTGTCAGTGAATGGGCGAATCGGCGTCAATTTTTTGGACGTTATTGTGTCAGTTAATATGTCGGTATTGATGGTGATACATGTGCTCTGTTTGTCAAACATAAACTCTGTATTGGATTAAATATATTTTATTATGTAAACTACGGGCTGTGATACGGGTGACAAACGAGTACACAGTTCACATGATGTTAAGTTGATACTGTAGTCCATAGACTGAATCTGTCATCGAATAAGATTCAAAATGTAAATGCATTGTCACCCCTGGTTCTTTACACTCAGCATACGAAACGCAGTAGATTTAAACTGCTATTATATGCTATTTTGTGAGATCGTGGTCTTTCTCCGTTCGAGCCAACCCATTTGTGCTACAGCCATAATATAGCTGCAACGTTGCTCTACCATGTATAGTTATAATGAATAATATTCACTATATGTTTTTAATATTACCACAGTCAACACCCACCATAATCTATACCATATCTAGAATGGCCGTGACAAACCAGCACACAGTTCACCTGGTGGTGTTGTCAATTAAGTATCAAAATATAGATGCGTCGTCATCCTTGAAGAATACGATGAATTAATCCGTTTAGGTTCATTTGTCCTTTTAATGAAATACACGCTGCTACATTCACTGGTAAAGTATTATTATTATTATTATGGGGAGTATCAATATAGTTTTCTCATCTGGTTGGATTCTATAAATATATAATTATAAATGGAAATGAAAAGATAAATATACATAAATATCAATAACATAAAATAAATATAAAAATACATAAATAAATAAAAGCCCAACCAGATGGAGGCCCTCGGCAGGGGAGACCAAACGGCCGAGGGTTAGGGGGAAAGGGAGAGAAACCGGCGGACGATGCGGGCGATATCG